GCCGTCGTGGTCATCGTTGTCGTCGTGGTCGCCGCTGTCCTGGTCCCTGACGGAGAACCGCTGCTGCCGCCACGCCGAATCACTGGCTCCGTCACTGGCTCAGTCACTCGCTGACTCGAATCCCTTAATCATCTTCACTTACTCATGTTTGCCAACGGCCCCGATCAACAGTTCTACCAAACCCCAGCTCCACCACCACCGCCACCGTCTCAGCAACCTCAGCAACCACAGTCACAGCAACATCAGAGTGTGATTGTCCGTCAGCCAGATCTGCCAGATGAGCCTGACGATGCCGGCTACGCGGCTCCAGCCTCGTACTACGGCTTGGCCCCGTCAGCAGTGGTTCCCAATGCCTATCCGTCTCCTTACAATATGAATATGCCTATTCCTTTTTTACTCGGAGACTGGAATCAACTTGGAATGGTGGGCTTACGTCTTGTTTATTTCTTTTGATCTTAGGTCCTATCTCGCTCATTGTTGTGCTGTTATGATCTTATCGTGTAACCAAATCATGGGGTTATGGACAAACAAAGCTCGTTCCTGTTTAGGAGCGAAATATGGGAGTTTTGAGGGCCAATTCGGTTATTTGAATAGGGCCTCAACTCTTTTTGTCTAGGTTTAGCTACTTAACTTTGACTAACAGTTCCCCCTGCCAATCTGGTGACTTAACCCCAGGATAGGAGAAGTGTAATGCAACGGGATCTGGAAGTCTATTCCCCTCTCAGGCAGGTTCTGGACTTCATAAAAGTTTTTCTAGAAAAGTAAAGCAGTCAGAATACTGTAGCTTACTGCAAATAGCCACTAACAGCAGTGCACAGCGAGCCTAACCGGAATGCGTTTTTCATGTTGCCATCAAATTTAGTATTGGTTTGTCCCTGGAAGCTTGGATGAATTTCGAGCTGTGGTCCATATCCTAACGTTGGATTTTTCTGATCTTATCTCATGTCGAGCTTATCTCGAGCCTGAGTTCGCTGACGGCTCTGAAGTCATCTGCTGCAGAATTGAATCGGCTGGCTTCAGAATAGAAAAATGTTCATCTTCGTTCAGGCAGAATTGGACTGAAATCGTAGGGGATTGAGCCTAGCATTCAGCCTTTACCTCGTTTACTGTCGGTGCTCCTCTTGGTTGAATCTTGAATTTCTTGTTCCTTAGGGAGTGGACTGGTGGAGTGATCACTCACTGCTTCTTTCGTATTTATCTTCCAGATCTTCCTAGAATCACTTGTAATTTATTCTCCTCTCTACCTAAAATTTGAATCGTGTAGCGACCTGGAGATGGGTCTTTGAAAGATGTTTCAGGGTAGGTTCTTATCCATACTGTTGAGCAGTGTTCCAAAGAACTGTTCGTTTCTGATTTGTAGATACCATTTATTTATATAGGCTACGGACGCATCTATTCTCCTGAATTGGCTTGGACGGCTAGTAACTCAATGGAGGGAAATTTTTTGCTCTCCATACGTTAATTAGGGTTCCAAGGTTTCACAGTTTACCATCTTTATTTTTCGATGATTCTCTTTTAATATGATTTTTTGGTGAATTCGAAGGAACTTTCTAGGGGACTAGGAAGAGAGCTACATGTCCACCCCCCACTTTTTCAACATGGTTAACAGTTTTTTCTACCAAACGTTTACCTATACCTATAGGTCAACCATCGAATGTAGGCAGATGACGATCTTATCGGGCTACAAAAATGTCAGCCTGCGCTGGGCCCTTGCAGAAGTTTACGCCCTTTGTTTTTTCTGGTGGATTCACCTAAAATATGCCTCGCAAAAAACAGCTTTTTTCGAATCGAGTTTTTGATTGTGTTCAGTTTCGAGAAATTTCGAAGAAGATTGCGCCGTCATTAAAAATTAGATAAAGAACAGAAGTATAAGTAGTAGTAGGCATAAAAGGATTTGGGTATATGTACCCAACAAGAAGGCCCAAGATGTTTTCACCCCACGAGTAGCTGAAACTTTGCCTAGGAGAGGGAGTAACTCCGTGGAAAAATAAAAATTGCTTACGCACCCCGGCATCCTCTCTTGAGCAAAAATTTCAGTAAAAATAAATATTTGTCACAATTTTTGAATACACTGGTAGCTATACCCCTTCCTTGGTACATAGATCCAAGAGGTTTCCAGTAATTGGGAGACGACAGCGGGATCGATCTCATGAGGACCTATATGCGAGTTACAGCCTGTTCAAATTCGCCGCGCCCCTTAAAGTCTGTAGTGCCCTTCCAGAATTTTCGTGGTTCTCTCTCGACAGAACTCTCCTTCAACCGTTCAACAATAAAAGTTTTATCTCTCTGCTAGCAAAGGCGAACTTCAGGCGTACTTTTCTCTGTTCTTCCGGCCTCTGATTTTATTTTGTTTGCTCAAGCAGAACCGAGCGATTATTACCGTCTTTTACGATGATCCGGCAAAGTTTCAAGCACTTTCACCTTCTATTGATTAGTCGCTAATATTTGAGACCATAACCGGTGGGGATCCTTTCCATTTATGGTCGATTTCTTTATCGCTCGCTTACAGTATTTATTGGCTGTTACTTCTACTGACCATTACTGTGCCCCGGATATCTAGTAATGTTTTTTTTTTACTTATTTTCAGTATGCAGGAGCATATGGGTAACCCGTTGCTTCCCGGCCGCTCTTATCACTAGCTTCATCCAAGCTCGTGCACGTATATGCGCGGATTCCGCCAATTTCTTTGTGAAAACAATGCCACGAACCCAGCGACACCATAATGTTGCTACAGTCGATACTTTACAGCAACCACTCACTCCCATTGACCAAAATCTACCCACAGCCAATTGTTTTATTTTGTATTTTTGAACCATTATTAATTCGCGCTGGCTACTTCAGTCATGACCAGTTAGGCGTCAAACTAGCCGTAGGCTAGTCTCCTACCACGCTTCGAGGAACTATGGCGTTTCTGCTCATGGCGGAGAATAACATTGCAGTTGAAGTGGAGTCTTACTTCTTTTCGCCCAAATTATCCTTCGCTTGGGGCCATCACCCCCAACACAGTACAGTGCTCGAGTAAAGCCGCCCAACCTTCCCTTCCTCCGTAAGTGAGGTTGAGGCGGCCCCTCGTGGCTCCGTCTTTCTTAGTGCCAGCAAACCGGCTTAGAAGTGAGCGCAAGCATCGGAAGTTGCTCTTTAAAATCATACAGACTGTTGTTACTCGGCAGCGGTAGAAGTGAAGTGCTAGGCTATGGCCGCATACGGGTTACCAATTGCGCAGGAATACGACGGAGGGTTCCTGGATCGTTTTTTTTTGCCATTAAGTCGCGTACTATATTCGGTTCACGTGGGTTATTGGCTCGGACCTAAGGTATCTCCCTGTGAAGTTTCTAAGGAATTTTTCTAAGAGAAGCAGTTGGTCTTCTAGCCAAAAGTGTCACTTCTGCACTCGTTCTGCGGCCAGACCACCGATGTTTCTTAAAGTGGAGTGAGAGGTGCTGAAGTGATAAAGATTCAGAGAATAAGGGGAGAAGAAGGGCTGTTCGAGTTTCCCGTCAGTTCATGCTCGTCTCTGGGGGTCCTATTGGAGCCAGTTAATGGGGCTACTGCATCAAAGAGTTCGATACGCTCAAATGATCCCTCAGCATTTTCCCTGCATTTGATTTTTTACGATCCTATCCTTAGTTGATTGTCTATATAGGGCTGTCGGTAAATGACTATTAGCGTTCAATTTTCGACGCGTTTGTTTGCGTGATGCTATCTGGGCGCTTAGGAGCGGCATCCCTTGATGTGGCACTTAGCCTCATTTTGCCGGAGCAACAGTGTTTTTACAGTAATCATTGCAGCTTTGAGGAGTACACAGAAGAAATACTGTGCAGAAATGTAAGATCAACTGCAAAGGAAATTCGGGTCTATTCCAGTTGGAGGGGGGGGGCATCGTTATGCAGTTTTTCCAGAAAGCTACAGGTAACTCCGAGCCAGGGGAGTGTAGCCAGTCTAGGGGTGGGGGTGAGGGCAGTCACTTGACATGCGTGAAAAGCTGGAATGTTCGAGTTAGCCGAGAAACTGCATCATGATGCCCCCCCCCCCCCTAATTGGAATAGACCCATATATTCTCTTTGTTTCAAAGTAGACTACTCCAATGTGACCTAATGACATTTTTGGCTATGGAGTTATTTTTTCAAGGGCTTCGTTAGCGTTTTTCCTGGGTACCATGCTTTGCATACTGCACTTTGTTTGTGGTTTTGTTTGCAAGCGTATGGGTAATTGAAGAAGTGGAGCAACAGCTGATATCACAGAATGACTTGAGACTTCTACTATTCACTGGCGATTCAGTAAACATTTTGGAGTTGAGCCAAATAACAGAACTCAGTAACAGCTGCTGCAGCCTTGGTATTAATTAGCTTTATTCTAAATGTCTGTTGGTTGAGCCCCGGCTTGATTCAAATAAGCCAAAGCTTCGGAAATATTACTCTTGGTGGCTTTTTGAAGAATACGGTTTGTTGACGAAATTCCGCCTGTGAAAGGAGTTTCCGATGGCATTTTTCCTGTGCCCCCTTTGTAGGAACAATCAAAAGTCTCGGTGATTGTTTTTTCATCAAATTAATTGCGACAACTAAGAATTCACTGGAGCTATTTCCACGGTAGGATAACATCATGCAAACACCTCAGGACTGGGGCGCCGATATTGCAAGCCTGTTATGCTTTTTTTACTGAATACGTAGATGCTCAAGAGAACATTTGCAGGACTGTTTGTCGGTTTGGTGTAGCAGCAGGTGCTGCTGCTCACCGCGTATACTGAGGGTCCTGGGGTTAAATCCCAGCCGGATCTAGCTCAAGTCAATGTCTTCCTTACCTTCGAGATCGGTCATTCGGTACCAGGATCCTCAGGGGGATAAAAGCACTGAGAGATGTACATCGGTTGGTCCACACAAGTGTCTCCGAATCGCAAATGGAACG